AAAAAAAAAACCTCTCAACCCCTCCACCGTCACCGGTACGCGAACTAGTAGTTATTTTATCACATTAATATTATTAATCAGTTTGCCAGCTAACGGGTGTTATGTACACGCTTTAACCCGCTCGGCCACCTTACCCCCAAGCATATCTTATATCTAATACATTTCAAATATAAGCGATAACTAAAGAAACATTTCTTCGTATAAGTCAGGGGTGCCCATATTCAGGCTCTCGAGTACTTCCAATCCGGTCCGCTCAGGTTTCTTTATTTGGATAAAAAAAAAATTTTAAATATGAAATTTAGTTAATCATTCAAATACGAGTTTACTACAAATTTTGCACGAGTTGTTATAAAAACCTAATTCCACGACTGTAATTTATAGAACAATTTTTTTTTTTCACAGGGCCTGCGGAACTTAGTGGAGGTCTCAATTTGGCCTGTAGATCACAAAGCTTGTCTATCGCTGGCTACAAACTTAATCTATTCAATACTCACAATTGGTGAAGCTCCATATTTTGTATTCCAGAGTGTCTGAATTCGAAAACATCCGTTGGTCCGATTCTCATCTGGAAAGGTCATTTGTTTATTTCTCGGCAGCTTTGGGTCTTATTAAAGTATATATTTATTTATGTTGTGTTTCTCATTAACGGGTCTTCATTTTCCAAAGTTCCGAGGGTTTATATCTTTATCTATAGGGAAGGTTCCATTTATATATTTATAAGGATTTATATATTTTATTCTTTGTACATACGAAAAAAAAAATACGCATATACTTCGTACTTACTGCGTTATTTCACCATTAAATAGCCTGTTTAAAGTAATAGTCCGTGGCACGGACCCCTTTTTATCGAATTATTAACATCCGCCTGAAACTTCGTAAATAGTTTCATCTCATCGTAATCTACAAATATTTTATTTAGAAAACTCTTGGAATTTGGGAGTTTCAATCTGGAGAGGGGCAAACATTGTCTATTTAATTAGATACTAAAAAACTTGTAAATACTACTTTGATCGTAAGATAATTTGATAAAAAGGTGGCCCACAAAAATATTGGATCATTTGTCCTATATAACCTCTTTATTTTGATAATTTGAGAGTGTAAATCATAACAAACGGCTCAATATTTTTGAAGGCCACCTTATTTCCCAATTACGGGATCAAATTATCTTACGATCCAAGCAGAAAGCAAATGGGTATTTATGAGTTATTATTAGTACCTAATTAAATAGACAAAATTTGCCCCTTTCCAGATTGAAAACGTCCCAATTCCTAGAGTTTTCGTAAATAAAATAGTTGGTTGTATGTTACGATGAGATGAAACTATTAATGAAGTTTCATGCGGATGTTAATAATTTAATAAAAAGGATTCTCTAGCACGGACTATAAACCTCTAGACTAATTTTTATATTTTCTAAGTACAATTAAAGTTTATCTAGTGTATGAAAATAATATTAGCGAGCTCTTCCGTATAAGTTTTAATGCTGTTGAGTATAATAATTCATATAAATAGCTATCTGACATTTTCATAAAACATTAACTTAAAGCAGTGGAAAAAATATTTTATTTTAAGTCAACGTTTCGACCCGACACAGTTTTAACTGTAACTCCTTTCTGAGTGCACCTCCCTGAAGAAGACCTGCAAAATCGGGTCGAAACGTTGGCTTCAAATAAAATAGTTTTTCCACTATTTTAGTCCCTTTATGATCGCCACTCCGGGCCGTCCTTTCTCTAAAATATACAATGGTCGACCATTAAGTATTCAATTAACTTAAACAATAATAATACTAATAAAACTACAAATATTCTTCACATCTTATCAAATTGTATTTTTATTCAATGTTGTTGTTCTAATATGGCTTTTTCTGACCTTGTTATGATCGACATACATTTTTATATAATCATAATTATTTATTCATAAAATTTAAATATTCCATCATCGATATTTACATATTAGAAACTATAAAAAGTGAATATAAGATCTCGTTGAATTGTTTGACAGATTAACACTATAATTTCTCCTTCTAGAGTTTCCTTAGATAATTAAGGAAATTAAATGAAGCTATTAAAACTATTATCTATACATATCCAATGAAATTACGAGGCAACTCATTTATGTTTCAATTACGGGTTTATGATTTCCATATTGGGAACAGTAACAAAGATAAGATTTGACCTTCATATCTCTGGCATTCGCTTTAATATTCCTCTCGATGTTTTATATATTCTTATAATCTATCAATACATTATTATATAAAGTCGTACAGATAATTGTTTGTTTTCAATTCATCGCTTATCTAATTCAGTATCGATGAACTTACTATTCGTGAATGACTCACTCATGACTCACATGGCGATCTCTTTGAATACGTTAATGTTGTACACGAGTTATCGATTCTCTCGCCGAAAATCCTGTATTTAGTTTCTGAATTTTAAGTCTTTATTTATAATTAAAAACATATTACATATAGAATAATTACATCAATAAATTACAGACAGGACTTTAGATAGTTCAACATAATTCAACATTATTATGAACAACGTTAATCAATACTTTATAAAACCGTCACGTTTATAATCTATTGATCTATATTATTTCAATACAATTTTGATTCACTCAGAAAATTCCTAATTTAAAAATAATTCAATAAGTTTGCATTAAACAGGTTATATACTGGCGAAATAACGAAGTGAATACAATATATTAAATTATGTATTCTAAAATAAAGACGAATTTATATGGAAGATAAATGAAAATGAGGAATTTTAATTCCATTTTGACCTATTTTGAAATTAATAATGAAACATTATGCTTAAATTTTAAGTTGTTATTTTGAAGAGTTTGGTTCTTTTTGTTCATATACATTTAATTTTAGTATTATTATTTTTCTGTTTAATTTATTTTTATTTATTGTAAACAGAGTGTAAATGTGCTCTCTGAACATTATCATACGTGTGCTTAATTGAGAGAGATTGTAATATTTCTTAATAAATAAGTTAAAATAATAATAATTATAATAATAAAATATAAAGAATAAACCTTATACCGGAATATTATGATAAAACTTCCAGCCAGACCCTAATGAAACATCAGAGATAAATAAATGTAAATTAATTAAAGAAATATTTCTGCAATAGCCTCCAAATACATTAAATAATATCATTAATTTATTTTTTGAATTTAGATTAATAGATTAATTTTTCATTCAATAAGTAAGTTGTCTTTTGTTAACAATAAAATGAAATCAGCTGTTCTTTTCCGTTCAAGCAGATGTTTTCATTCAGCCATTTTCCAATAGTCTGCATTACAAGGCTCCTTTTTATCAAATTATTAAAATCCCCCTAAAACTTTCTGAATAACATTATCTCATCGTAATCTAAAATTTTTTTAACCAAAATTTTTGAAATGCTTTTGCGTTTTCAATATGGAGAAAGGCAAACTTAGTCTATTTAAATACGCATGAATACCCATTTGGTGTTTCCACTTCAATCGTAAGATAATTTTTTCACAAATTCGAGAAAAATGTAGTCCTTCAAAAATATTGACCTCCACTCCCAACATGTTAAAATAACGATGTTGTAGAGGCCTAATATTTTTATAGGTCACCTCTTTTCATTTTTTTTTTTTTCAATTTTGTGATCATATTATCTTACGATTCAAGTGGATGGCTAATGGATATTTATAGGGTTTTAATAGCTAATTAAATTAATTAGAAAACTCCTCATTTCTGAGAATTTTCGTACATAATAAATTTGTAGGTTACGACAAGATAATAATTTGATAAAAAGGGTTCTGTACCACGGGCTAGGAAATCGACGAAATATATATATACTTATGTATTTTTTTTCTAAAGATTTTTCGAAAATATATCGTTGGCTTATTGCAAAAAATTCACATGTAGATTGTTGATGGTACTCAACTTTTAAGAACATTTTTGTGAATTTCAACTTTATTTATCGAGAAAAAAAACATAGCAAATGCACTAAACATTATACAAACCCTTTTACATATCAACTGTAGTTACAAAAAGCGAATCATTTTCTGATTTCTGAATTTTTCAATTCATTAAAGTTCTTTATTAAGGGTATGAAATGTCTTTTTAATAATTTAACTTAATATCTTTTTTCAACATATACCAACCTTATGTTATTTATTTACTGTTATATAACAGTGTAGAAATATATATACTAATTGTTACCCGTATTACCCGTACGAATAATTCGCAGAAAATTTTGCTTAGCCAAGAAATATCAAAACAATATGGAAATGAGTAGATCCTATTTATTCTATGAGGGAAGAATTAATTGTTTTTCCTGGGTCGGTTACAATATTCCATTTAACATAATAGATCAAAATATTTGTATAAATTGCTTTGCTATAGTTTGTTTTTAAACGCTGACTGGAAAGGTAAAATTCAAAATAAAACCTCGATCATAGGATTTCTTAAATTATTAAAAAATATAATATGTGCGAACAGAATAATGCCTTTAAGAAATAATAAAGTGTATATCAGCCAGGAAAAAAAAAAAAAAAAAAGGCAAAATAATATTAAATGCAGTATCTTTAAAGAGGAAAAAAATATTAAGTATATCAAAAGTAATAGGCTTCTTCTTTAATAATCGTCCAAATTTACTGTTGTTTTTTTGTAAGTAATTTAGTAATCTTTTTAATTATCATGGGAACAAGACAAGCATATTTTTTTAATTATTCGCTGATAAATGTTCTTTTCCCCCATAACTTTTTTTAAAATTTTTTTTTCCTTAGATTTCGAGGGGTTGTGACTATTTTTCACACCTGAAGGAGATATTTAAAATGAGGGCTCAATTGTTGGATTTTATGATGAATTGACGAAGTTATGGCGTTGCGACAAAAGACAAATTTTAGAAATAATATATAAGTATATATATAATATACATTTTATATATATATATATATATATATATATATAAAATGGTGTGATCTATCTATCCTTGAGGTGCGTGAACTATCGGCTGAGCGAGGAAATGCCAAGGACAGCGGATTGTAAGGCCTCGTGCTCGGTCCAAAACAGAACTCGTAAATTTTCGTGTCAGCGAAAACTGCAAGCAATGAGCTCTCTTATTAATAATAAACTACTATTCAGTAGTTTAAGTTATTGTAACTCTTAATTTAATTTATTTAGTTATAACTTACTTCGAATAATACAAACAAATATAAATAATAACATAATTGGTTTATATCACTTCATTACTTCTATGTAATGCTAATGTGAACAAATTCTTGGATGTAATAAAATATATAATGGTCAATATACAGGGCCATCGCGTGGGATTTCAGCGTCCTGTGCGAGAATTTACTGGGCGTCCTCCTACTCTATCCCATACCTTCTAATACCTTATTATCTCATGTTTAAATAGAGATAGATGAATAAAGGTGATAATAAGAGAAGTTTCGATGCCAATACAACCAATCGCAGCTTATATACTTCATCTTAGGACTTCGCGTGAGTTATTGGCGCCCGAGATGAAATTATATCAGGCGCCCTCCCCCCTCACATCCCTCGAATTATGCTTTTAGTATAGTGTCTCATGCTCACGGGTTATATTTATTGTACTTAATTAGACATTTGCATTTCCGTTACCGACCTATAAGTCTCTAGCCGTCTTGTAAGTTATCTAACAACAATAGGAATTGAGGTTAGAAATAATTATTTCGCTAGTCGTGTTTATGATAACAAAGAAGAAACTAAGAAAACATTTAAAGGAATGAATTAAAAATTAGCGTAAAAAAAAATTGAAAAATATCTTTGATTACTTAGTGTGTTCAACCTCAAATAAAGATAAAACGTTTTTCAAAGTCCGGATAGTTTGTCGCGAAAAATATGATAAAAATATCATATGAAAATTGAGGGGCGATAGAATCTTAAAATCATAGGAAATGTTGATTTATATTATTATATTTTAATATAAATCACAATTCAAATAAAAGTAACATTTATGTATCTATAAAATAGTTACATACCTACTACCTACTACATACTCTGGTCTATTCAGGTAGTCGACTTTTAATCGATTTTATTTTACAAATTTTATTCATTCGTGTAGCTTATTTATCATTTGTTTTAATTTTTTTTATCTCAAATTATTGGGGAGGAGGGGCGTTCTCAGCTCTGTCAACATTTTTTGAAAATGAAATGACATTCTTTAGGCGGGTTTTGGAATTTTTTTTTATGAAGAGTGAATTACATTGAGCCGTCAGATATCCGTTATGTAACGCTCGGGTAAAGTCGGCTAGAATCGACTGTTTGAAGTATTTTTGTATATGAATTAAAATATCTAAAAAACCAAAAGTCGCACTTATTTATTGTTAGCGAGGGAAATGTTCATCACTTCATCCTCTATGTAATGAGGTATTATTCAAAATTGTATCTTAACGCGAAAAGAAAAAAATAGTGTTGAAAACCAAATGGTTACGAGTTTTATTGAAGACACGGATTAAAATATCTTAGAAACTAAAAATCAGACCTGCATACTGTAAGTGAGGGAAATGTTCAGCATTATTTACTCTTTACAATGAGCTATTATTTATAATTTATATTATTAATCTCGCCTTTCGATGTTTTCGCTTCTATCGTGCGGTCTTAAGGCACATACCTTAGATTTCATTATTAAGAGAAAGATGGTTGGGGTGATCAGTCAGAAATATTAATATTTATTTTATATTTGCCGACGTTTCGACCTGAAGTTCAGGCCTTCATCAGGGCTAAGAAAAGAACCAGATAACAAGGTATGAGAATAAGTATATGAAATAAGGTGACATAAGTATTATAAGTATTATTTTGATTATGTTTGCTTCATTATTCCACACTTTGTAGCGGTTATTTATTATTTATTTCTTTGTTCTTGTTATTGTCATTATTCTACCCACTTCATTTTACTTTAATATTTTTCACCTACATTGTTTATATTTCTCATTCCTTGTTATCTGGTTATTTTCTTAGCCCTGATGAAGCCCTGAATTTCAGGTCGAAACTTCGGCAAATGTAAAAATAATTATTATACAGGAAGGAGATGTTCCGGGGTGGCGGTCATAAATAGACTAAATTGTGGTAAAACTATTCTTTTTTAAGCCAACGTTTCGACCCGACTTTGCAGGTCTTCTTCAGGGAGGTGTGTCCAGCTAGGAGTTTCACTTAGAACTCAGTGACCGCCATCCCGGACCATCTCCTTTCTTTATAATGCAACGGTCAACTACTAAATATTCAGTTAAACATTATTATTTATTTTTGCCTTTTTATTTCTGACTGATCACCCCAACCATACTTCTATTCATTATTCACGACAGTCAACCATCAACCCACAATTATAGATTTCATTATGTTGACGGCCCCCCTATGTCTGATATTATAAGCTCTTGGTGGTTTCACGCGGTCTGTCTATATAATATATGTATATTTTATTATACATTATATATATATATATATATATATATATATATATATATATATATATAGATATGTTTTACATGGTAGGCCCGGGATGATAAAGAGGAGAGACTTAACGGTTATATAACGGGAGGAGGACGGATAGCCAGGAGTGGTGGGAGGCGCAGGAATCGGTGTGGAGGGGTCAGTGATGTCGAGTTCTTCGGGCAGCGAGGACGTGTAGTTCCCGACGGCTATATCCTACGAGTACAGTGTCTGTGTAGTGGTGTAGTGTACATCTCTGTGCCAATAGTGTACTGTGTATGTAGTGCTTTCACTCTGTATTGGATTAACTCTACCCCATAGCTGTATTGGATATCTTACCAGGTGAGAGAGAGTCCCTTTAAAATATTATAGTGTCAATGAATCTTACGATAATATTTACAGTTTTTATTATTAATATAATAATAATAATAATAAATAATTATGTTTAATTATTCCGAAAGGGAGAAGTGAGAGTTGTTGAATGCAGGAGTTGAAACAGTGTTCAGTCACCCATAGAGTGTGATTACGTCCGTCCTATATCTAAAAATATCTGTCTGACATTGCCGCAGAGAGGCGAAGTACGTCTTATTCTTAAAACATCTACGAATATTCGATAAGAATAAAAAAAAAAACAAAAAAAAAAAAACAATTGTAATTATTTATTAAATACATAATTTACACACAAATATATAACTTATATTTGGAAATAAAAAAAAAATATATAAGAATTTTTAATACCATTTTTTTTAATAATCAGGGCTGTGGAATAATTTTTAAAATATATTATTTTTCGTAATATTTATTTTAACAAGAGCTTGTTCCTATTGTCTGTTTTTTTTTTTTATGATAAATTTTATAAAATTACATTTTCAAAGAAATTTACATTCGCTGTTACTCCATAACGTGAAATATAATTAAGATTATTTACTTTTTTTCTTTCTTTTTTTTTTTGGCTTTAATTTCAGGCATAGATATAAAATAAATATATTTTTAAAAACATATTTTCTGGCTTTTTTATTTTTAAATATTACATTAATTGACAATCGTTAGAATTTAACAAACAAAATATTTTTTTTAAAACGATTAACCGGTAAAAGCACGATTTAATTTCAGTTTAAAAAATCGATTAATATTGCTTTTAAAAAAAATTGACTTGCAGATTAAAATGTACAATTTAAAGGTACATACAGGTTAAGGAGTAATTAATTAATCGATGAATAAAAAAAAATTCAAGATTAAAAATATTAATATTAAGCAATTTTAAATAATTTTGCAGACAGGTCAGAAATGTGCTGACCTCGTCAAATGAAAAATAGATACTTAAAAACTGCTTCCATAAGAAAATTAGGATAGAATTTCTTCTTAAAAGCAATATGTCAGATTACGGAAAAACTTTTTTTTCTGATATTTTAATTTGACATTTAAATGATTAAAAAAAAAGAAAAGGAAGCATTAAATGGCTTCGTAGTAGTAATTAAAGGGTTATTTGAACATTGTAAATACAGAGAGCATTTTAGAAATTAATTAAACCGAATAAATTGAAATTTATATTTAATCAGTTAGAGTAGATATTTGTTTTTCTGTTTTCTTTATTTATTTTTAAAAAATGAAAGAAATGTTCAAATAATCAAGTCCTTTTAAAGCAGAATTAATTAAAATCTAGAATAAAATTAATATTAGAATTAATCCTACTTTAACTCCAGATTTTACGAAACAAATATGAATTAATTGTGAATTATTAAATTAAAGGGATATGTGAGTTCAAATTAGGAGGCATTTTTTTTGTCCTTGCTACCTGTTGTGGATGCAGAATTTAATTTTTTTTTTTTTTGTGGGGTTCCTCATCTTTATATTACTACCTATAGTAAATGATATTTAATTAAGTCTTAAAGATCTATTTGAAGAAAAAAATATAGGAACAATAATACTTATAGAAATACTTTTTAAAATATTTTTTTCATAATACATATTATAATTAATTAAGTGTTTTGGGTATGTCACTCATGGTAAAAAATACGAACCAACGAAAAATTCGCCTCAGTGCTCGCTACCAAAGGTAGGAAAGCTTTTTGTTCGTGCGGGAGATTAAAATTTTCGTTTTCAGAATCGAAAATTTTCACTCGTTTTTAGGAATCAGGGTAAAATTTTGGCTTCAAGTCTATCTCAAAGTCAAATAGTCAAATTCGTTTGATGGACATATTGCCTAGTTAATTCGATTTCGATTAACTTGATCGTGTCGATTGACACTTTGATGGTACCAATTAATCAAATGTCAAACACAACTTCCGCTTCCGAATGAGTAGACGTATTTTGAAATTATCTATATATCAAAAATGGGTATTTCAAGTAGGCTCAATGTTGTAAGAAAGTAGAATTATTTAAAAAAAAAATGATCTATTATCAATTTTATCAAATTCCATTTTCTCTTTTCGCTTACAGATGCGCATTAGAATTTTTTTCTTTAGACCTATATTTCAAAAAAGGTTTATTTGATTTGACCCAAAGTCGGAAAAAATGTAGTGAACAAGGCAGTAATAGGTCCATAGGCGCAGATTTCGAGTAAGGAGAGAAGGGAGGGGGGGGGGGCGAATTTGAAGAAAAAAAATTTAAATTGATTGCAGATAAACTATATGTATGAATAAAATATATAAACAAAAATCGCTTGAGAAAATACGAAAAGTCGACTAGCTGGTTAGGCTTAGGCCAATAATAGATACGTAAATAATTTATCACGACTTAAATATTCCTATTATTTAAATTTTCATTTATATTAAGTGATAATAATATAGAATTCTTGTATTTTATTATTCATTCATCTTTCTTTTTTTAAAATAGAAAATTAATTTATTCTGAGACAATGTCCCTAGAGAATAACAAATTAGAACAAAATTAAAAGATTACATCTGGCTCAAATAAAAGCAATGGAATAAAAGAAAAAAATGTAAAGAAAATATAAGATAAACATGCTACATACAAAACACTTAAAACTATGACAAGACATTAAAATTATTTACAGTGATAAACCAGTATGAATGTACACTTTTAAGAAAATAATAAAGAAAAAAAATCTTTCCTCATGTGGATACCTCCGTTTTCACATGATTTTCTTAAAAATTTCTGCGATAAATTTGGAGAAAAAAATGCGTTTTATAAAGAATGTTGCTATAGACATTTTTAGTTAGAATGTGAAAACGTTTAATTTTTATTTCGAGGTTCTACGAACTAAGAAATCAAAAGTATTTTTTAGTTTGTACCACTAGCGGATCCGGGATTTAATTTTGGGGAGAGGCTTCAGCCCGAAAGATTTTTTTTTTTCATAAAAATAACGATAATTATTTTGGAAAAAAGAAAGAATCTATCTACCTATATGAAATGGTGTTTAACTGATTCCTAAAGTCCTTTTCAATGTAATTACACGAACAATAATACTTTAAGAGATATTTTTTTTATTTTTTTTTTCATTAAACGTTGTTATATTTTAGTATTTTTTGGGGGGGGGGGAGGCTCAGCCCAAAGCCTCCTACCTCCCCCGTAGATCCGCCCGTGGTTTGTAACATTATTCATTTTTAGCCGAAAATTTTCTATAAATGTGTTATGGAGGCTGTCCCCCTTCCTCTTGATGTTTAATGGATGCATATTGTAATATATCCATTCGTTTTGTTCAGATATTTTCAAGTATATTCATGTGCTCATAAAAAAAAATCCTACAACTATCCAAACATATATATAAATCGATTTTTAAATATTCAATATTATATTTGTTCGTCTTATTTGGCTAGACTAATGTCTTCTAGTGGGTATCTAACTATTTTATTGATACTTAAATGTTACTTTGATTTAAATTGTTTTTTATATTAAAATATAATAATATATATCAACATATCCTAGGATTTCATGATTCAATCACCTCTCAATTTCCATGTAATATTCTTATCACATTTTCGGCGACAAACTAGTCGGACTTTGAAAAACGTTGAATTTGTTTTTGAGGTTATACACACTAATATTCATTTTTATTTGAAAACATTCTAGAAATGTACCAATGTTATGTAGGCTGTCTCCTCTCCATCCTATGTTTAATCTAAAAAAAGTCTCTTATATATTCAGTTGTATTTATTTTACATAATTTAAAGTATATATCATAGGTAATATGAAAAAAAATTATAAAAATCATTAAAACTATACAAACATTAAAAAAAATAATTTTAAACATTCAATATTTGTTTGTTTCACAATAATTATGTTGAATTTTTACATATAATTTCAACCTCCGCCATTTTTTTTTTCCCAGCCCTTTCAATCAAAATGAAAAGTTAGCACACATGAATAGGTCTGGTATTAATTTCATAATTGAACGATTAAGATTAATGTAATTGTTCAGAATATAATGGCTATGAACAAACAGGAAATCGTTAAATTTAAAAATATTAATATTAATTTTAAAAATTACTTAGAACCCGAAGGCTCATTGCCAGTAGCACCAATCTCTGTCTATATAGTTCCTTCACATTTAAAACACGATTTAAATACATTTTAAACGATTAACAATAGTTTTCTTCGTATTTATTGTGTCGAAGAAGTCATTTTGGCTTTATGCCAGTTACAGAGAAATCACACTCTCTAAGAACAGCTTCGGGTTTTTCTCATGACGCGCTATTCAAATAAGGAAAATCGTTATTTAATATTTTTTTATTTTATCTTTCAGAAAAGGATTTATCCTTAGTGTCCTGGAAGATGTTAGGTCCTTTGGTGGTAGTAAAAGTAACTCTCGCTCCGGGCCGGGCCTAGCCGTCGTAAATTACCGCGTACCGTTAGCTTGAGAAAGAGACGCCCCCTCCCGGAAAAAAAAATAAATAGGAGGAAAAAAGAAGAGGGACGCGAGGCACACATGCCCTCGCCCGGAGAGATGGAGCTATCGATAGGGAGGTGACTCGATCTATCGAAAGCCGCCCACGGAGGCTGAAATAAACGATTATATTTAGTTCTCGTCTCCCCCTCCCATCACCCCCTCTCTCTCTTCGACATCGGCTCAATTAAATCGGACCTTGGCTCTTGGGGATCAAATCCATCAAGGTTCTTCTTCTCGATTATACTATATCGATATAATACATCGATGTTTGAACCTGAAAAATATATATATTTAAATACCACTATTCTCCGTTACGATCTCTTATGTCTCCTTCAGTTATTTATAAAATTCTTTCATATTTTATATTTAACCATTTTTCATATTAGAAATTAATGTGAAGTGTTCAATTGTTTCAAATAAAAAAAAAAATCAAGGTACTTTAGAGGAAACTAATATTGAAAATAAGCCATTTAAGCCCTGTCAGAGAACATCAATCAAAAGAATAACGAAATTTTATTTAAAACTGTTTAATTTTACACTGATATGGTGAATTTAATCAAAATCGTTAGAGCTGTTTTCGAGATAATATTTTTTTTTTTTTTTAAACATTTTATTGAGAAATATTACAATCTGTCTCAGTTAAGGACACTTATAATAGAGTTCAGAGAGTACATCCATACCGTATATACAGAAATATAAATAAATAAAGTTATAACAGAAGAATAAGAAAAAAAAGAACAAAAGAGAAATATATATATATATATATATATATATATATATATATATATATATATACACATATACATAAACATAAGTAAGTAAAAATAGAAATAAAAGTAAAAAAAAACATCTTAGATACGAACATACCTATATACACTATTTACAATCAGCCAGGTGATCTCCAAACCAATCTTCTCCCCCCACATGTGGAGAGAAATTCGAGGCTTAGGAGATCCCTACGCTTCTCCCTCAGCCACTTTTGGGCTGTATGTTATTATTATTATAGTATGTTATTATTTTGGGGCTGTATGTTACGTCAAACGGCTCAATATGTTTTAACGCCATCTTATAAACGTGTAATTCAAACCTTATATTTCATTTAAAACTATTTCAAGTTATTTTAAAATGAAAGTAAAGTATTTAAAATGGAAAAATGAAACGAAAACTAAAAGATAAAAAAAACGATGGTTATGACGTAAAAATTGTTCAAGTGAAAGTTTTACTAACCTTCTGACAAATTTATTGAAGTTTTGAACGTACGTGTTCCTTTGAAATGTCAGGCAGAAACGAAACTGAAAAGTTTTCATACGTTATTATTATTTTATAACTTAATTTGTATTTTACAGAATAATGTTTAAAAAATAAAATTTATTATTATCTGCATCGTCATTGTATTTTTCAGTGATCATTTTTCTGCTTCTTTACTAAAATAAAATAGAATAAATAAATATTATGTCCCTGCAATTTCATTAATTTAAATTAAATTAAATTAAAACCATCCATAGTTGTCTCACTCTTCGTAATTCCTGGCCATTTTTATAGGCGCAGACTGCGGGAGGGTCGAGGGGGGCGATAGTCCTCAATAAAAATAGAGGGGCGAGTATATCGTTCTGCATCCTTAATATTTTGAACGACAAAAAAAAAATCAATTGCAATAAATCTACATAAATTAAGTATACTAAAATCAATTGAGAAAATCGGAAAAGTCGACTAGTTGGGAAAGCTAATGCCTAGAAGTATTTGACCACTACTTATCTTCCTATTATTGAAATTTTATAATATATTTATTATTTATTATTATTATTACAATTTTAAAGATAATTATATATAACAAGATATCCTAGGATTTGATGATTCATTCATGGGTTCTCTTCCATTTTTAAGTGAAGAATTTATCACATTTTCCGCAATAAAAATACATGATATTTTCGCAAGAAAAACATAAACATATACATATGCATTTTGTATAAAATATTATACTGTACGTTTTACAATAACTAAGTTAATCATCACTCTTAATTTTTATACGTCATATGAACTCATGAAACTTTTTTTAGGGAGTCCATCGTCCCTCCCTTTCCCCCCCTACCATAGTGAAAAGTCTCCGCCTTTATCATTTCTTCTATTCTATTATCAATATTTTTGTTATTGATAATGTTATATTATTCTTATTGTTTCATTTTTTTTTTTTGTCATATATTACATTTTTTTTCTATCATAATTATTTATTTATTTTAATGTTTACAATTAGTTACTATTAATATTGTTTCCCTCTTATTTCTCATAGTAATTAAAATCGTTCTTTGAGTGGAAAAATGTTTCTCATAATTAAAAAGGAAAAAATGTATATTATAAACATATTATTTTTTTGTATAATTATTTTAAAAATTTACATTTTAGTTAATATTACTATTTTTTTCTCCTCCTATCTCGCCACGTGACAATACGAGATTTGGAATAACAGCGCCTGCCACTTCGAGATAAGATAGTTGATAGATAAGATGATAGTTGTTTTTCATTCATTCGTTCATTCAATTTTCATATTTTATCCTCCATTCTTCCATTAGAGATATTTGAAAAAAGTATATATAGATACTTAAAATATATATATATATATATATATATATATATATATTATTATTATTAATCGACCTTTATATACTATTATATACTTAAGATAGTTATTAAATAAAGTATAGTTTAGACCTGTCACCTGATTACAATAATTTTATTAAATTATATATATTTATGAGAAGGATTTCATCGGTATGTGCGGTCAAATAAATACTAAATTGTTCAAATAGTATTGTTTAATTTTTGCCTAAAAATAAAGGCAAAAATTAAACAATATTATTTGTATAATTTAGTATTTATTTTAGAATGCTACCAATGGGTGGTTTCTCAACAAGCGTGTTTCATGTGATTATATTCCTATGAACACATTTACTTGATGTATTCATACTAATACAGTTGTAAATATCATAATAAAAGTTTAAAAAAAAAAGTATTTATTTGACCGCACCCCCCGATCAACACCTTCTCATATTATATCACGGTCAACCATCTCTAAATCATTATATATATATATATATTATTTCCGTTTTTAGTTTTTCAAATAACCCAACATCACACTAATGTTTTCGCTTCCACAATCCTACTACGACGTTTCAGCTCGTCACATCTATTCAGTCTATGTTGCCAGTTTCATTGTCATTGACTTCGTCTTAAGAGTCGCTCTGTAACAATAGAACTGACAACATGTGGGCTGACACGTAATATGTTAAAAGTAGATGTGACAAGTACGATACTATTACGATAAGACGCATGTATTTTACATAAGAAATTGTAATGGAAAAGTATATGATAGACTTGAGAATGGTTGAAACGTCGTAGTAGGATTGTGGTAGTGAAAACATCGGTATAATTTTTGTTTATTTAAAAACCAGAAACAGAAAATATATACGATACCGAAATAAAATAAAATAATACTGAGAATATATAGATAGATAGAATAGATAGAAGAATCAACTTTATTCTGGGACTACGTCCCTTGAGAATAACAATATTGTACATAAAATTAAACATTACATCTGGCCAAAATGTATATTACAATAAACAAAAACAAACAAACAAACAAAAAAAACAACTAAAAAATAAGGGATAAAAGAAGTGTTTACATAACTGTACAGATATCGGAAGCCATAATATGAGAAATAATGTCCTAATACTGCAAAATAGTTGCTATACACAATACGCTATGAAATTATAAATGAGCGACAGATAATAATAAAGATGTTATAGTAATAGTAGTATGTTCGTAGAACATAATAGTATAATCGAAATACAATAATAGTGTAATCGTACATACACAATATATACACCCAATAATACAATAATAGTGAGAATACAATAATAGTACAATAGTATATATACAATATACATATATTAATATATATATACATATACATACATACACATATACATACATACAATGCAACAATAGTATAATAATACAATATAGGCTACCCAGCGTCTGATTGAATTGTAAGGAGGAATTGGAAAAGGAGGGTTTTAAATGTGGATAAGGATGGTGCATGGCGGATTTTAAGTGGGATGGAATTCCAAAATGTGGTGGATCGGACAATAAAGGAGTGTTGAAATGAGGCCGATTTGTGGAAAGGGGTATAAAGGTCGGAAGGACGAGATCTTGTGGAGAGGGAGTGGATAGATGACTTGAATTGAAGGAGATTGAATGCGTAGGAAGGACGATGATTATAGATTATTTGGTAAAGGAATGTACCTAGGAAGTACTGTCTTCTGAAGGAGGGGAAGAGCCACCCTGACTCGGCGTAGTAGTGGGAAACATGAGAACGTCTCGGGGTCCCATTGACAAATCGTACTAAGCCATTCATTATTCTTTTCAGTCTGACTCCAAGTTCCGATGAGAGGCCACCGTACACTACACAGCCGTAGTCAATGTGGGGGAAGATGAGGGCGGATACTAGGAGTCTACGTGTGGATATGGGTAGGAGATGGCGGAAGCGATGGAAGAGTTTCAGGATGGAAATTGAACGTCGGGATATGAGGGAAATATGGTGATTCCAGGAGAGGGTTTGATCTATGATAACACCTAAGTTTTTAACTGAAGTGTTGAAGGTGATGGGTTGGTCATTCAGGTACAGGAGAGGAATGTTGGTATTTGATCTGAGAAGGGGTTTGGAACCGAGGACAATGGCTTGGGTTTTAGCAACGTTTAACCTTAATCCATTTTCACTTGCCCAGGCACAAATCCGATTTAGGTCTTCTTGTATTTTGGCAAACGCATCATGCCATTCAGAGGGAGCGAAGGAGAGGTAAATTTGGGAATCATCGGCATAAAGGTGATGTGAACAGTGAAGGATTGATTTATGAAGGTCGTTAATATATGAACTAAAAAGGAGAGGAGATATGCTGGAGCCCTGTGCCACTCCT